CTTTTGAAAACTCTTGAACAAAAGCTCATCTTTCAAACCGGCAGTCTAAATCCCACAGGTATCAACGAACGCTCTTCATTCCACTTATTTATTCGTGTTTTTCTCGTTGCCATGTTCCCACCAATCACGTAGCTCCTTTTTCTGCCTTTAAAAGCACACAACCCACAATTCCCCTATTCGCTCCGACGAAGGCTAACGCTCGAAACGTCAGCTTTTATAATCGTAACGGTGGCCAATTTACCATTTCACCTTCGATTTAAAGTCAAGCGCTCTAACCATTGGGCCTTTGCATCTGCTGCGCCATATTGATAGTCCAATGCAGTTATTCGAGAAGTCCGTGAACATTAGTAGATACCGAGACTTCGAGGTTAGAATCAAAACATCATGAGAGTTACCTTTCGGGTCGGATATTCTTTGACATTCTTCGACTCTACTTCTTGGTTTTTTTCCCTCGCTCTTCAAACGAATCAAAAATCCTGCAAGAGGGAATCATTTACGCGTTAAAATCGTACATTTTCAATTTACTCTGAGCTTTAGTTTGCGCTGTAACTTCTTTCACGGTAGCTTCCAGAAAGTGCGTGAGGTACACTTTTAGAATCGTCTTGTGAATGCCGCAATTTATGCACGGTTTGCTTCATTTTTTAGAAAGCATAAAACGAAAACTGAACTGCAGTTAATCAGTCATATACATGACTTTAAATAACAAAAAAAAAAAAAAGAAAACGAGCACAGAAAAGAACCCTTAACATGCGTAATCTTCATAAAAGGCTTACCCAATAAACGCATTGTCCAAAAAGATGGCTCTCAAAACGTCAACGCTTTGATATTGATCGATCTGTGGAGATGAGAGGTAAACGGCTGTAAGAAGAATGTTATAATTTCGATGCAAATTATGATTAGTCCAAACCAATCATTCAAAGAAAAAAGACGCAAATATGAGGTCGCCATAGGAAATTTGTGCGTCTGTGAATGTTTATTCATTGTACACGCCAACGATTTATGTACGACATATTTGTTTTACGACACTTTGACGTCAAACGTACGAGAAGAGGAAAATATTTTTGTTCGGTAGCCTTTAATCATGGACATTGATTACCAGAGTGCTTAATGAGGGGTGAATGCTCTCTACAAGCAGCTGATACTGTACAGGTTCAAAAGTTTGTGATGTAAAACTGAAGTGTCTAAAGTCACTTTTTCCTTTTGACTTTGCCCATGACTGTTTCCTGTGCCTCGAAACATTTAGGACACATTTAAAGCTAGACGAATCTTACGTCCTGGAGGAATTGATGAATTATAGACTCTTTGCTTTAAGCTATCACACAATGTTCTGGATAGGTGCATGACAGCCCAAAATATGGTTGTGGAAGAGACCAGCGGAAGATTTAAGTTGATAGGATTCATTCCCCACCAGTCTCCCCGAAACATAACATTTAACAGATTCCATATTTTCCAAAGGACATCGAATTTTGTCATTTCCTGTTGTTGTTTTTAGGGGGTTGAGGCGGGAAATACCTCAGATAAAACTTATGACGTTCTGCACCGACCGCCACACTATAACTTACGTTCAAAGACGTGTGTGATTAAAAGGGGCAAACCACGCTTGCACGAGGAGGTGGTAAAACAAAATATTTAATGAGCAGAATAATAGCTGAGCACCTGCGTTTAAAAACGCTATATACAGATGAACCTGCAATCAGTGGCACCGTACTTAGCGGTCACCCGGTTAAAGTCCAAAATTTGTTTTTAATAATCAAGCGGTCACCCGCGGGTAATAGCTTAATACACGTTCGAATGTATTTCTTATAGCCGTCCTTTGCAAAACGGCAACGTGAAATCATCAAAACTTGCGTGTTCTGAGAGCGAAAACGGAAATTACCTAAGTTACCATTTAGAATTCAATGCTGCTTAGCTACGTTATGCTGAAGTAGATGCGTGGCGTTGAAAGAGACGTACTTCTAACTAAAAATACAAACTCAAAAGTTTTTATCGGAGTCTTCCTTGGCATTGACGCGCCCTAAATACCGTCAGGTTCCAAACGAGTGACCATTTGTAATCTTAGGAATATATAAACTGATGATCTAACGATTCTGATGGAATACATAATTACTACCCATCAATAACTAAACAGACATAGAAAAGCAAAAGGAAGTGTGTGGCGTCCTTCGAGACAACACACACTGACTTTGTCCTTTAGCAACGCAAAGGTATTTATAGACATGGAGGTTAAAATTAATTAGTGTTTCTATAGTACTGTGAAATTTGGTTTGAGAACATGTTAGAAAGAGTAGTTAAGAATTTACGGAGATCTTCAGGTGTGGCAAACTTGAAACAGGAAAATGGACACTGACTTTGGAGCAATGCAGTTACAACTTTCTTATTACTATGACCAAAACAAGTAATGAAATACTGCCTGAAGCTAACACATGCTCTTTGTTCACCAAACCGAGCGTTCCATTGCAGTTTCAGAGACTTTTAAACCCGTTTTAATAAATATTCCGCTGAAATAGTATCAGGTGAACTGAAAGAACTTCGTTTACAAAGATCTACGAGAAAAATAGAACGATTGTACTAACCTTGAATTCTCGTCACGTTTTCATCAAATGCTGTCACCATTGACGTAGTAATTTTTAAACAAATCTGTCTTTAACCAGAAGACTTCTCTTTCTGTGTGTGTTGAAATGATCGACGTGAGTTAATACAATGATCTCAACATGAAATTTAACGAACGTCAATGCAGTCAAGCTTATCTCCGAATACTTATTACAATTCATAAATAGCATAGTTATTCATTTCTGATCTTGAAGCAATATTTACATCACGCTCCGAGAAAGTTAAGTGCGACAAATTGATTGTACAGCTTTCAAGTCGTCAGTCACGACAGAAAACGGAAAATCCACTGCGCTAGGGTAAACATAATGAATTGCTAAAACTTCGCTTGATATTTTTTCTTCGAAAGTCTCAGACTCCTTTTTATATTTCAAACGTGCATGTATATGTTACAATCTAGCCTGGGAGCAGTCGCTCTCATTCGTGCTCAGTGGTTCGAATGGCGAAGCCGCGAGTCACGATAACTCGTCTAGATTGGGGCCGAGTTATCAAAGGGCGTCCTGATCCGAAAATGTACCAAAGAACCAGATGATATGAACAGCTTAATGCATCCATATTTCCATGAGACGCTCACTGATTAACCATTCCAAGTTATTCGGAGGCAAATCACAAGTGACGTTCGAAGTGCATTCGCACTTGAATTTTATTGTTTGTTTGGAAATATTTCTCGGTCCCAAAAGCAAAGCATTTTTAAAAGAGTTAATTCATCACATTGAGAGTCTTTTGCCTGGAGTGTGGATAAAAAAATTACATTCAAAGTAAGAGAAATTTCTAAACAAGTGTTGGTTCGGTAAGATAAATAAAAAAAAAATAATAATAAGAAAAGAAAACCGGAAGAATTTACCCTAGGTGAGTCTATAGCCGTTAATGATTCAGAAGATTGACTCGAATTGCAAATGACGGACTTTAAAAAAAATACTGTATGTTATTCACAACGGGTAATCCATGAAGCGGGTGACGTAAACTTGAGGCGAAAGTTAAATATTCGCTAATTCATTGTAAAGTGACTTCTTCACATATTCATGAAATTAAGTTTTATTCCCTTAACGGCCAGTGGAACATAAGCACATGCAAAACTACCCGTATTTCAATCTGTTTGAGCTGCCTTCAGGTGTAGACCCCGCATGCCTTGCTCTCCCCTTCGACAAAGATTCTTTGCCGTTAAGTTGCACTGTGTGACGTAATCAGTGGACATTTCAACATTTTATGACGCAACTATAGGTTTTTAATCAGGTTCACCAGAGGAGAGAGATCTATATGCAAACTGGACTAACCTAACACGAGGGTCTCTAAGAAGTGTAGCTTTTACGGCTTACGATTAAAACTTTTGGCCAATTTACGGCTAATGGTTAAAATATGTAAATTTTTACGCCTAACTGCTAATTTTTAGGCCGTTTTACGGCTAGCGGTAAACTCCATTGAAACCATCTTACATAAGATGTTCACAGCCTCTATCTTAAAAAAAGAGGCAAATAAATATGCGATTATTTGTGCTAACAGAGTAAGCTCCAATGGGCTATCTTCCGATGACTTACTTAATAAACTCGTTTGGAAATTTTAAGTTTTCTATAGTCCTGTCTGTTATCTACAACAGATTGCCATTAGTAACACAGTCTTAAAGTAGAGGTATGCTATGGAAACCATACAATTTTTATTTCCGGCAATATACAGCAGATATTAAAAAATGACCTTTGAACCACCTAAGACTGACCTAAGCCTTGAAAACATTTATGGAAACGGGCTTTAAGCTCAATCACACAGGCCCCAGTTCTGAATTTTACTTTGCAAAGCCAACCAGGTCTCTTGGAGAGCATGCACACAGCCTATGGGTTTAAAATATTTCGAGATAAGGCCTGCAACTAATTTGTAATTACGAGTTACCGTGATAAGTTCTCTCTAAAGCCTGATGAGTCCACAGATTTAAGGAATATGCATCAAGCGGTTTAGATAAGGGCCGAGCCTCATTTCCAAAGTCGTTTTCAGTTTCATCTGTCTCTGTTGTTTCAACAAAGGAAGTTTCATCAGCCTCATTTATATCAATTTCGTCATCTCTGTGATTGGCACAGAAAACTCGCCCCATCTTTTCAACCAATCAAACGCAAAACTTTTCGCGTTTTCCCGCGTTTTCCCGCGCTTCGATCAGTTTGCTTGCTTTCACTTTCAGTTCTCACTGGTTAATGAAACCTTTGCTCTAATTGGTCGCTGGGACCATTTTTGTGTAGGCTTTTCGACTGTGAAAAAAACTGAACACGAAGCTTAGGAAATGAACCATAAGAATATACGAATTGAACCTTGCGAGCTCTTAGAACTCAACACTGCGAACATTTTTCTTATTCTTAATTAGTACCTAGCGTGAAATAGATCACTGTTGATCTTATCAAAGGAAGCATTTATTGACGCACGCACTGCTTTCACACACCCGAATTGAGTTTAAGACTTAGAGAGAAGTTTTCGCTCACGAGTATGGATAGGTTTTTCTTGACAAGCTAGAGCCTCGGAATCTTGTAAAATCTAGTTCTAAGAGTATACAGCCAATAAAATACCTTAACACGACACTTAATTGAAAACTTCTCCGTCAAAGAAGCAATACAAATCAAACAACATTGCAGAAATTAACGAATCCACAAATTCAATGAATAACTTTTAGTTTTGATATACCATCCGTCGTTACCAAAGTCAGCTTCCATTCTGTCATCTTCTATGATTTGAAAAGAGGCAAGTTTTGCCACCGTTATCCCAATTCCGTGGTCGGTTTCTGAGCAATTTATCCCGCCTCCTCCAATCATGATCACAGAACCGCTCCAGCCCCAGTCACACCAGAAGCCGACCTCATCAGCAGCTTGCAGGTCACCGCTGCATGAAGCCTGTCCGAAGCCCTCAGTTGTTAGGTACTGTCCACCATATTGAACTTTGCATTTTCCCAGGCACTTTGTATCGGACCAAACTGAACCGTTTCTGAAGTCACCATAGCTAGTGATTTTAGAGCGAAATGTCTGCCCGCTCAGACAGTTCCCTATTGTTTGCAACAAAGGAGTGTGTCCAGAGTCATCACTGCGCGTGATCTTAAGCATCATCTTGGACAAAATCTTCAGGTCTTGCTTCTTTGGTTCTGTTATTCAACTCGCAAAGTTTATCAGTTTTGACGTAATTGTAGCTCTGACATGTAAGCTCGCTGTAGCAAAACACCAGACACTCGTACGGATCTTGTACCAGTTTTGTTTTAAAGATGTGGCCTTTGAGAGCCTTTCCATTCTCTGACTGCTCAGCGGGTTCACATTGCTGACTTGTGGCCATGAGGAGAGGAATCAAAGATAACGAGTGGAAAACATACACTCCCAGAAATATCTGGATTGGATTGAGTTTTACTGAAAAGGAAAAGAGATGAGTTAAAGCGGTTGAGAAGGAATCGAAGGCTTCTTGAAACGTACGGTTTATTTCAGTTGGTAGTGACAAATTTTCTTTGTTGGGGGAAAACGCTTAAGCAGTACGATGTATCGCACAGGAAAAACGTTACATTGCTAAACTGATGCGGTTTATCGTGAACTTAAAATGGTACTTTGCTCAGAGAAAACGAGAATTCGCAAAGGGCCCAGTATCGAGACTTTGCCGAATTGAACAATAGCTAAGTTATATACTGTTTCGTTTATGGCATCGTTTGAATACCGTATTTTCTTGAGTAGAAGCCGGAGCTTCTATTTTTTTTTTTTAAAAGGAAAATAGTGCGGCTTCTAATCAAAGGCGGCTTTTAATCAAAGGCGGCTTCTATTCAAGGGCGGCTCCTATATTTTGAAAGCCATAGTTTTCATGTGTGAAGTGTCATCATGTTAAAATGAAACAATATTTCGTTTTTTATCTACTGCAATAATATTCACACGTGTCCCTGTCAATCACACTGATGTTTGCTATGGTGTGGTTAATAAGACGTTCTCCCATGAAGGACAGAGTCGCTGGAAATGCTAATATACGGCATTGATCTAAAAATTCAAATCATTAAAAGTTAAATAGCGACATGGCTCATGAATTCTAAAGGTCTAAGCTGTTGTTAAACTCGCTTTTCGAGAGCTTGTTGCTTATATTAGGGACCTTAAGCAAACCACGACGGTGACGGAAACGGGAAGGTGAAAAAACAAAAGATCTAATTGGAAGAACAATAGCCCAGCACGTCCTCGTCGCCGTCGTTTCTCAAGGTCCCTATTAATTTGCAGCCGCGGTTTCGCTTCGCAGACGAAGTAAATTTTGGTGATTTCACGTTGTTGTTTTGCAAAGGACGGCTAAGCAATGTACAAAGTCTTTACACGCACGTGCTGAGCTATTATTGTGCCAATTAGATCTATTGTTTTTCCACGTTCTCGCGGCCGTAGCCGTTGTGGTTTGCTTAAAGTCCCCAATTCTGTTCCGCTTCGCACACTTCGTCACGCACTGCCCTTAATAAATATCCGCGAAATTCGCCCGCGCTGATATAACAATTTGGCGTGTTGGATAATGAATAACTTATTAAACGTTTTGTTGTGTAGTATCGCTGGGTATTTTTACTCGTTCAAAATACGGCAAAGCTCGTAAAAATACTTAGCGATACTACACAACAAAAAATGATTTAAGCATGCTAAATATACTCCGCAGGCGTCATAAATGCAGGAAACTCGTTCATTTTCGCTTCCAAGCAAAGAATTCAGCACTTCTTTGGGAAAAGCTTTGGTCTTGAAATGTCTCTTGGCCTCACCTCAACTGCACTCCTATGCTACCCACGTGCTCTGGAAACATCCTGCTGCGTGCATCCCTCTCACGATATACACGCGCCAAGATCTTTATTTTGTTTTTGTTCGGTTCTGTTTTTCTCATTATCCATATCAACCAAACTGATAAAACGTGTCCATGGAGAATTAAAATCCGAAAAACCATTGAAAACTGCTATTTAAGTGTAAAATCTTCCCGTCGCTTCATTGCACATTGATTTTGATTGAATTATGAAAATGCAGTAATGAAGAGTTGTTAAATAAAACTAATTTCAGTATGTTCATGGTTACACATCCATAATCTCTCAGTCACCTGTCAAGTATAAGAAGTTTTGATGTCCTCGCTCATTCGCAGCCAGTATTTATTTTGCAGTATT